TATATATATATATATATATATATATATATATATATATATATATATATATATATATATATATATATATATATATTATTATTATTATTGGGTAAATTACAACCACCCCTGAGGTATGGTCAGATTACGAAAAAAACCCTAATGTTTGGATAATTACAACTATCCCTTCAACTATGAATCTTCTTACACGTCTATCCTTATGCTGTCAAATTCAACAAAATCTTCTACATTTCGTGGAATGTTCTCTAGTTTGTAGTTGTTTTGTGCAAAAATGCATTTTCTGATGCACCACAAGCTAAAAAACGCATCTTATGATCATCTTGCTTCAAAATGTAGAGCTCGAATGGGATAAAACGGGTACAAAACTAAGAATTCCATATTATATAATTTAGAAGATTCCACTAAATTTGACACCGCACGGGTGGACATGTAAGAAGATTTATAATTAAGGAAGTCGTTATAATTACCTAAACATAAAGGGTTTTATTTCATAATTTGACCACACCTCAGAGGTAGTTGTAATTTATCTTATATTTATTATTTTATTTCCAAGTTTATGAACCCAGCCTCATATAAAAAAACTAAATCACATGCAATGTTTTGGAAGAGGATGAGAAGAAGATGGTTTTTTATGAGTTTTGTGGCGGTGGGGAGGGTAAGGTGGCGGAGAGCAAGAATGAGGTGGTGGGGTGGCAGCGGAAGAATAGTGGTGGTGGTAAAATGTACGTCAAAGTTGTTAAAGCTCTTGAACAACTATTTGGCTGTTTTGGCAATATTGGTAATTTTTTTAATTATTTTATTTATTTTTATATATATTTTTCTTTGTTTTGTTTTATTAGAGGGAATTATTATATATATTTTTTTATAGCCTAAGAGCCTGTTTGGCTAAGTTTATAAGCTCCTAAAAATATCTTATAAGATGTTTAGGAGCTTATAAGTTGTTAAAAGGTGTTTGGTAAAAAAATTGCAAAAGATCTTATTTTTTTTCAAAATAAGCTGTTAAGGAGCTTATAAGATGTTTTTAAAAAAGTATCTATACCCCGCATTTTTTCTTTAAGATCTTATTTGCTTCTTTACTAAAACACTTAGAGCCCGTTTGGCTAAGCTTATTTAAAACATCTTATAAGCTCCTACATCTGATAAGATGTTTTACGAGCTGATAAGCTGTTAGATCTTATTTTAAAAATTATTTTTTAAGGTTTTTGGATATGTAGCTTATAAATTACTTTTTGATTTTATAAGTTGTTCAGGTGTTTGGAAATAAAAGATATGTTTATTGCTATAATGACAAAAAAGTACATGACGCCAGTATAATTGTTAAACTTATTTGACTCAAATACTTTTGTTCCTAAAATAATGTTTTCAAATAATAATAATAATATAAAATTATATAATAATAAAACATCAGCTTATCAGATGTAGGAGCTTATAAGATGTTTTAAATAAACTTAGCCAAACGGGCTCTTAATTAGTTAAACTTTTTAAGATTAAATTAAATCTTAGACTCTTCAATATTGAGTTAAATTTGAAAAACACAAGTCATGAGCTTGTTTACTAGATGTATATAGGGGTATAAATCGGACGGATCGAATCAGAATCAGCTATTTTGGAAACAAATCATTTCTTCGGAAGTGAACAAAATTAGTTCCAATTCGTTCAAAAAAAAAGGAGGGAAATCAGAATTCAGAATTTTGGAAATTGGAACGAAAAAACTTGTTCTAAAATCAAAGAATTTCGCATCGGGATCGGCGGAATTCAAAAATTTCCAATTTTTGGTCACCTTAAATATGAAATATGTAATCATATTGGTATTTTAAGTATAATATTAGGAAAAAAAAATTGAAATTTTCAGAATTATTTTCGGAACTTAAATCGGATCTGAAATCAGAATCTCATGTATAGTCAAATTCCTATCCAAATCATTTCGGGAAAATCAGAGGTCGGAATTTCGGAACTCGAATTAAAAACTATTGTTTCAAAATTGGAAAATTTCGGATCAAAATAAGCAAAAATAGGAAATTCCGTTTCAAGATGTATAGGACGTAACATAAATAAATACCATTGGATTATGTGTCTAGTAATTGTCGGAGATAGTACGTAAATGCATATATGATTATATTCAATTGTTTTATTTTATTAAATTGTAATAATAATATATAATATATAATTAACTAATGTTGAAAGGTGAAACAGGGAGAATACGGTGCTACACCCGGTGATTTTCACCGGGTGACTCTTTTCTTGACATGTGTCCCTTTTTATTTATTTTATAATTATATTTCTAAAACCCATTGGGCCATAACTGAACCCATAGTGGGAATCTTGTTAATTAGGGTGCTTGGTTATATTCACCAGGTGTAACATAGAATTTCCCGTGAAACAGGGGAAGAAGCTTTGAAGAAATAAACTATTATGTATAAATTATTATAATTAATAAATAAAATTTCATAAATTTTATAAAATAGGATAATTGATAAGGAAACACGGTTGTAGCTCCCTTTGACCAATTTAGCTATAAAGGAAATTAAATCAAAATTTTAAGTGGATAGACATAAATACCCCTAAACAATATATTATTCAATATAGAAGCATTTAATTAAGGAAAGTAAGAAGAAAAAAAAATATTTTAATTAAATATGACACAATTCTCACTGATTTAGTTAACAAAATCACTCACCATTTTCTTACAATATAAAGAAGGTAAAAAGGAAGTTATTACACACATAATAAACGTATAAATACCACATAATCAAAGTAAGTAATAACCATAAGATAAGTAATTCAGGGGATTATATTAATTTCCTTCCCCTCCTCGCATAAATAAAATCTTAAAAGTATGGTAATATTCCAAAAAAAAAGTACAATATAAATAAAATCTGAAATGTTTTATTTAAAGAATGATTTAAATTTCGGGATATCACTTTATGATATCTTGGTTTACACATCAAGCATAAACTCACTTAATATTGATGTTGTAATTCATGATTCTATAGATTTACCCTAATTATAATTATTTAATTTGCACACCATCTAAAATCAATTAGTTACATTAATGAATAAATATATAAAGATTTGGCAAATATTTCACTTATTACAAGAATGAATGAAACTATAAATAGTGCCTCGCTAATACTCATTTTGTTCATTAATTCTCAAATACAAGTTTTAAATTATATTTAGCAAATTGTTAAATATTAATTAATTAAGAAGAAAAAGAGAATTAATGGAGGGGCAAAAGATGGGATTTGTAATTTCAATGGTTATGGTTTTAATCGTCTGCTTCGCAGGTGCATGCGAAGCACGTGGTAATATTCATGAAGATGTTTCTGCGATAGAGTATCTGATATGTATGAAGGAGTGCTTGGCCGATTGCACTAAACTTAAAGCTCTTTGTTTTGGACCTTGTAATAAGGCATGTAAGAAAGGTGCCACCTTCCACCCTGCCGCCTCCGGCCCGGCTGCCTCTTCCGCCGCCGCCGCCGCCCCGGGTGGTGATGATAACTGATAATGGTGGAAGAGTACGTACTATTGACAAGAATGAATTGGACAAACAATTTTTTTCTTGTGTAGCTAGTTTGTTGGAATAAAAGAATGTTATATTTTTTTTAATTTGTAGTTTTTTTATTTAATAAAACGTAATTTTATATTGTCTTTGAACCAATGTTTTTATTTATTTTATTTTTTTATTTTAAGTATATGATAATTTCTTTTATTATTGGATGAGTGGATTCTGGAGTGAAGCTGTCAAATAACATTAGCAACATGAAATTAAATGTTACACCTGATTATTTACATTGAGTGGATTTACACTTTAAATTAACACGGTCTAACTAACCAGGTGTAGCATCAACAATAATATTTTAAACGTAATTTTCGCAAAAGAAACTTATCAAAGAGCTTGCACAACGGGAAGACCATCAGCATACTTCAATTCACAAGATATGAGTCCGCAAGATAGGAAACATAGTAGGTGGCGAAATCAAAGGCAGCCACTATGTGAAGAAGATTCGATATATTTTCCATATAAAACAAATAAGAAAAGTTCATAAATCAAAATTAATGATTGATTAATGTAAATTAAGGACTCGTAAAAAAGTCCTATCAATAAAGGATCATAAACTTTTTCTTGAACCATCTCTCTTTCCTGGAACTATCCGTCGCCTTGTCCATTCACGCCGACCCTAAATCCAGCGATATATGAGATTTTTTGACTGTCGAGCGTGTGGAATTCGAAGAACGATCTTGAAGGTGCAAGTTTTGCTCCATCATAGTACTCTATCCCTTCAACTACTTCAAAGATGAATTAGAGAATCAATTAGTATTAATTTTTTATAATGAAAAATAAATAAAATACTAATTAAAGAAAAAACTCAATTTCATGATTTCATCAGGGTTACATACCAATAGCATGCATGTCTGAAAATGGAGAAAAATTAAAATAAAATCTTAACAACTAATATAATATTTTACTACACACTGACTTTTCTTTATTTATATTTTTATTATTTTATTTTGAATTTTATGAACCCACCCTCAATTAAACAAACCACATGCAATGTTTGGGTAGTGAAGCACACATTGAACGGCCACGATTGAATCCTCGGAAAGGATGAGAAATCGAGAGCCATCCGATCCGATCCGATCCGATTAGCCCCATGTATATATACGAAAAAACTTTAATATTGCCGGCTCAATTCTAGTTAACCAAGATTAGCCCCACCATTGTTTCTAATGTGACCGACCACTAAGTTTGCATTGACCTGCCATTGTCTAATTCTCTTTATGTATAAAAACCACATCTTTTATTTATTTATTTCATCAAATTATTATTTAATTTACATACCAAAATAATTTCAAAAAATGGAGAAAATTGGTGCGGGACTCGAAACCGAGCTGCGGCTGGGGCTTCCTGGCGGCGGCGGCGGTGGTGGTGGTTGTGAAGTGGAGAAGAATGAGAAGAAGAGGGTTTTCTCTGAGTTTTGTGGCGAGGGGGAGGGTAAGGTGGCGGAGAACAAGATTGAGGTGGTGGGGTGGCCGCCGGTGGCGGCGTACCGGCGGAAGAATAGTGGGCGGTTTAGTGGTGGTGGTAAAATGTATGTGAAAGTAAGTATGGATGGTGCCCCATTTCTTCGGAAGATTGATTTGAGCATGCACGAAGGCTATTCTGAACTTGTTAATGCTCTTGAACAACTCTTTGGCTGTTTTGGCAATATTGGTAATTTTTTTAATTATTTTATTTATTTTTATATATATTTTTCTTTGTTTTGTTTTATTAGAGGGAATTATTATATATTTTTTCTTGCTTTAATTTGTTAAACTTTCATAATTATTAGTACTTTGAAGCATGAAATCATAATTTTGGACTAATATTAATTACCCGTATATAAGGTGAAAATCGAACGGATCGGAACTTTCGAAAAAGATTCTATCTTTTTCAGAAGTGAAAAACTAGTTCCAGTTTAGTTCCAAAAAAAATTGAAAATCAGAATTTCAGGAATTGGAACGATTTTTTTTTTTGTTTTCCAAAATCGGAGAATTTTGGATATGAATCGGCGGAATTCAGAAGTTTCCAAGTTTTGGTCACCTTAGATATGAAATACATGATAATATTGGTATTTTAAGTCTAATATTGGGGAAAAGATTGGAATTTTCGAAATTATTTTCGGAGCATAATAAATCGGATCGAAAATCGGAATCTCATGTATATTCCAATTCCTATCCAAATCATTTCGGGAAAATCGAAAGTAGGAATTTCGGAATTCAAGTTGAAAAATATACTTCCAAGATCGGAAAATTTCAGATCAGAATCGGTGGAAATCAAAAATTCCGTTCCAATTTCCACCCCTAGTACGTACAGTACGCAACATAAATAAATATCATTGAATTATGTTGCTAGTGTTGTCGGAGAAAATACGTAAATGCATAAATTCAATTGTTTTATTTCATTAAATTGTAATAATAATATATAATATATAATTAATTAATTAATTAAAGAAAAGAAATGGGCCTGAATTTGAAAGGTGAAACAGGGGAAGCATTGAAGGAAGAAGACGAGTGTGCGTACGTTCCTATTTATGAAGACAAAGATGAGGATTGGATGCTCCTTGGAGATGTACCTTGGCAGTATGTCTATTTTACCCTTCTATTTTTATTATTTTCTTTTTATTATTATTATTATTATTAATATTATTATTTAATTTTTTCCTTCATTTTAAATAGGATGTTTTCAGAGACATGCAAAAGGCTGAGGATTATGAAAAGAGAAGATGCAGCAAATGGTTTTGGGCTTCATGCTAAAGACCTTCTCAAGGGACTTTCCAATGAGGACTAATCTGGAAAAAATAAAATTTGAGAAGGGTATATCTGTCTTTTCACCTTGTTTATACACAAGGCCTAATTAATTGCGTTTGGTAATTATAAATTTATGGTAGGTGAGATATAACTTTACAGACATCAGATTTAGCCTACGTATTTTTTTATTTTATTTTTGTTAAGGATCGGTGTAAGGGGAATGTTGTGCTTAATTTGCTTTAATTATTGAAATTTATTATATTCATAAGAGCCTATTTGTCTTTAAGCTTTACTATAAAAAAAATTATTTATTATCGCTTATAACATTGATAAGTAGTTAGATGCTCAATAAAAAAACCCGAATCTCGACTACTAAAGACTTAATTTTAATCGACAAATCATTAACTCGATTAGCCAATTTATTGACCACCCTGATTAATTCGGAATTGAATATAATTCAAATATATAACTGAATTAACGAATTGTTGGTCGTATGTGGGTGGAAATTGTAAAGAATCTATTTTGGAACAATATTTTTTCGAATGAACTAAGAATACGTATTAGATTCTTAATTTCGATACAATTTTAATTTTTGAAAAAAAATCTAGAAATCCAATTTTTTTTCAGAAAATATATCAAAATTAATATATATATTTTATGCTATAGATGACTAAAAGTTAATATTTGGAATTACATCGATTTTGATTAAAATTTTAGTAAAAGTGTTTATATTATTTGTCGACATCTTATTTTAGCCTACTATAGCTCAACCCGGATAAGGCCCACCCTGATTAAGTTAGTAACTAAATATATAATATATTTATTATTTTAATGATATGGCTCAACAAAGAATTTATAACTTACGATCGTAAATCATTTTATTTTACCCAAAAAAAAAAGTAAAAAGAAAAAAAAAACATAAGTAATTTTATATATATAGCTCTATATAAACCGGAGTCGACTTTAACCTAAAGTAATGAAGTTCGTTAATATGCAAGTTTTAGCCTACAATAATAAGGTTCGATAGTATCTGAACTTGAATCAACCTAAACTCGATTCACATGCCCGTTTGCCGTACGAGTTCTATTGACAATTTAATTCACACACCAAACAAGTGGAGCACCGACAATTAATAGCCACGTGTCGGTTGGAGAATTTTTGCCCTGGTCTTGAAAACGAGGCTCCATTACCCGACAAAACAACAGGCTCTCACATGCTTTGGTTTCCAGTGGTCCCCAAGCAGGCCCAAATTCATTTTGGCACAGGTGTACATTGGTTGACTTTGTACCTTAAGAACCCCGACAAGTGGGCCCCTGGCCCGCCCATTTCATTGATTCCTTGCCTTCTATACAAGCATGGAGCCCGGTCCGTGTTTCCCAATCCAATTATTGATTCCTTGCTTTCTAATTTTCATATATTTTTTATTTATTTTTTGAACAATTAAACATTTATTATAATTATATACATATGTATGTATAGAGTAATTGGGGCCAATTATTAAAATAGTGTGGTAACCAAGCAAATTTTTAGAAAAGTTTTAGTTTTTCTTCTTTTATATAAATGAGGCGAATTGATAAATATAAAGGTGATTTACCCCGTTTTTGTGAAAGAAAAAGAAAAAGATATACGTTCTCTGAGAAAATGTTTAATTTCTACGCTGTTATAATGATTGACTCGGGTAATTTGCACCCGTCTCATCTCGACTATGGTCATTTTATATTCATGTTACACACATTTTAACTTTGGGCATCCATGCATAATTGTCATTTGATAATTTCATCGAAAATATAGACCTACACCCATGAGATATGCTAAAATTACTTTAAGGTACATATAGTATTGGTAATTACAATTATCCCCGGAAACATTGTTAGAAATTCTACCGGACTATTACCCCCGGATAATGCATTCGATAAGTTATTCCATTAGAGTTCTAACGGACTATTAATTTCAGAAAGTGGTGGAGACAACATAAATATAGGGGGTGATTTAAGAAATGTTGGGGGAGCTATGTCAGCCCCTATGTCTATGTTGTCTCCACCACTTCCTGAAATTAATAATTATAACGGAATAACTTATCAAATGCATTATTCCGTTAAAGTTTCTAATAATGTTACCGGGGTAATTATAATTACCAATACCACAAGGACTTTAGGGTTATTTTAGCATACCTCAAGAGTGTAGGTTTAATTAACATATATATATTGATGATGTCAGAGTTAGACAACTTTAGAGAGTTGAAGTAGGATGAGCTGGAAGAGTAAAGTGGATCACTAACTCATGAGCTTGGTGACCTTAAGATACCTGCGATCATAGATCACGTAAACTAAGTCGGGGGTTGACCTGGTGGAAACCCCTCCGACGCTCAAGTCAGTTGTGTAGATGACAAAAGTCGTAGATATGATACGAGCAGTTGTATAGTTCAAATATTGAATGTATTTATACCTTATTGATTGAGCTAAAGTTTAATTTGTTGAAATTGTCGGGTTCAAACCTTATTTGAATGTGATTGGGCCTCGATGGTAGTGGTCTTTAATATTGAGCTCATTGCCAATAGGTAAAGAAATTGTAGGCCCATATATATATATATATATAGAGGTAAAAGAAAAAAAGGGTAAAAGGAGGAGGAGACAGGATCCCACGAGCAGGGGCCTGTATGTTGGAAACACGAAACTCAAAAAACACCCACACGCTTACTATCGACTTGGACGAATCATAACCTTTCTTTTTTAAGGACACGTGTCTTCCAATGACTGGTCCTTCATCTGTCAAAAATAACTGACTGTCCAGTTTCCCGGTCTTCCTTCTCCCTTTATATTTCACAATCTTCCCACACATTCCCACTCCAAACACACACATATTATAATAATTGTGCCACCAATATAATTAATTAAGACAGCGAGCTGAGTCAAAAAATGCCTCTTCAATCCGATTATCCCGGCTGCCTGAAAACGGACCTCACATTGGGCTTGCCCGGCGGCGCAGCCGCCGAGGTATCCAAGTCCGGCGTCAAGCGCGGGTTTTCCGACGCGGTGGATTTGAAACTGAGCACCAACTCCGACGATGACGTCAGCGTTTCAACGCCACCTCCGTCCAAGTAATTAATTAATCTTAATTATATCAATATATTAATATATATATATGTAAAAATGGTGTTTGGATATTGTAGGGCTCAGGTAGTGGGGTGGCCGCCGGTGAGATCATACAGAAAGAAAACGACGGCGACGAAAAACGGGAAGTATGTGAAAGTAGCAGTTGACGGAGCTCCGTTTCTCAGAAAAGTTGACCTCGAAACCTACGCTAGCTATCAACAGCTCTTGTCTGCATTTGAGGACATGTTTACATTCTTAACCATATGTAAGAATATTAATTAATTAAACTATTTATTTTAAGAGATTAATTAGGAGATTATAATAAATAAATAAAAAAAAAAATTTAATTAATTAATCAAATGAATATAGGTAATAATGGAGTAAATGAAGGGAAGATGATGGATAGTGCAAATGGGATTGAGTATGAGCCTACTTATGAGGATAGAGATGGGGATTGGATGTTGGTTGGAGATGTTCCTTGGAAGTAAGTTCTTCTTTCATTATTTTAAAATATATAAAGATTACTCAATGATCTAACCTTTGTTGTTTGATTTATTTTTGGCAGGATGTTTGTTGAATCATGTAAGAGGGTGAGGTTGATGAAGAGGTGTGAGGCAATTGGATTAGGTATAAGTTGATAAAGAAGAGGTTGAATTACTCCATATTGTTTGTATAGGAGATCTAGGCATTCTTGTGATGTCTTAATTATTAGTATTAATTAAGGAGTTTATATTACTATACATTCAATTTCAGGAATTTAATGTAACAGATATATCGATGAAGTGCTTGACTAAAGTTATTAAATTATTAGGGGATATATTAATTAATTAATCGGAAAAGCTTCACGGCCAGAATTTAATGGAGCCAAAATCACTATTAAGGACATAACTGTAAATAAATAAAAGAATAAAAAAAATTTAATTCTGGTCCTTGATTAATTAACTGGTTTGTTATAAAAGAGGATTTGTTAACAATAGGAGGACCACTTGAACTTTCATTTTCATTTTCATTTTTGAAACAGCAAAATTCAATCAGGCCCATTCCCAATAAATATAAATATGAAATTTTGTAGAAAAAGAAAAAGACAGAATGGGGTGAGAGAGGCTCGAACTCTCGACCTCAGGATTACTCAGAAGCTATGAGACCTACGCGCTAGCCAACTGCGCCACCACCCGGTTTGACGATGGTGAGAGAATGACTGTTCTTCAATATATTAATAGAATAATTCATAAAATATTTTTTTTTTTTTTTTTTTTTTTTGGTAATGCAGACCGCTAGGCCACCCTTGCGGGTAATTCATAAAATATTTAGAATTTTAGTATGGTGGTTTCATTAGAGTTGAACTATAGTAAATTCAAATTTCACTCATAATTTTTTGATTGTAGCATAATTTATAATTTTTTTTAAAAAATAATGCTTATTTTTTTATCATTATCAGGGTAAATTGCGTTCTGCACCTCAATAATAACAGTTTTTGGCTTTGTGCACCCTAACATCTTAAAATTTGCAGAGTCCACCCTTACAATAAATATCTCATGCCAAAATGCACCCTACCTCAATTTCTTGTAATATTTTACACTTTGAAGCAATTTTCATTGTTCTTTATATTTTTTTTCTTACTTAATATTATTTAATTATTTCACTTTTCAAAATAAATCAAAACTCTTTCCAAAAATTAATATTTATTAAAAAAATTAAAATAGAATGAGAAGTGAAGGACATTATTATTATTTTTAAACGGATAGTTGATAGAAATTCAATGGATTATTTTGAATAAGGCTTTAAAATATTTTTTTCAGAAATCAAAATAACGTGTGATATATTGATTTTTGGGTTAAAAAATCCCATAACATATTGATGTAGGGTGCATTTTATCATGATAAATATAATTAAAGGGTGGAGTTTGCCAGTTTTGAAATATAAGGGTGCAAAACGCCAATTAGGGTTAATTATGGGGTGTAAAACGCAATTAATCTCATTATCATGTACTATTTTTTTTTTTTTGGTAAATTCCACTTTACCCCCTTGTACTATGCCCAAGAACCACTTTACCTCCTCGTACTCTTAATTTCGTCGATTTACCTCCTTGTACTTGTACAATTTCCCAATACAACCCTCTTCGTCAACTTTTTCGATTTTGACTCTGACGCCATTTGGTCAAGAGTCAAAATATTGACGTAAATATTGAATTTTTTCGATTTTGACTCTCGAGATTAGAAAAGAGAAAGTTTCACACATTCATATATTTTTTTCTTTGCACTGGGTGGAATCGATCAATTTTTGGGTCTTGATTTTTACTAAGTTATGGGTTCAATTTGGGGATATCTTGGAAGGGGAAGTGGTGGGAGAAGAAGAAATTACAATATTGACGGAGGAGAAACGACGCGTTATAGGCAGTGGCAATTTTGTAATTTACAGAGTTGACCAAATGGCGTTAGAGTCAAAATTGACAAAAATTGAAGGAAAGGGTTGTATTGGGAAATTGTACAAGTACAAGAGGGTAAATCGATAAAATTAAGAGTACGAGGGGGGTAAAGTGACTCTCAGGCAGAGTACGAGGGGGTAAAGTTGAATTTACCCTTTTTTTTTTTATTATAAGAAATGAAAACAGCAAGAACAAAAAAGCAAAAGGTGGGAAGAGGAATCAAAGTCAAATAATGAGAATCTTTTATCTTCAATGACGTATCAAAAAATAATTGGGTAAACTTCAATTTACCTACCTGAACTATACACAAGGTGTAAAATACCCCCCTAAACTTCAAAATGAACCAAAACAACCCACCTTTTATGTGGTCAACGTTAAAAAACTTAACGCCGTTAGTTTTATATCAAAACCGTTAGTTTTGTAGGGGTTTTACGCTTTTGCCCTTAAAACTTCTTCTTCCTCCCTTCTCCTTCCTTTCTTCTTCTTCTTCGTAATTTTTCTTTTTTCTTTCTTTATCTCTCCCTTTTTATTTCTTCTCATTCAAAAACTGGATTAAAAAGCTGTTTGTATTCTTACACTTTATATATATATATATATATATATATATATAGTTATCAACAAATAGATATTCTGTTCATTTACTAGTTTACGCAATTGAATCACTACTTTTATCCATAAATCAACCACATGGGACTTGGGCTGTGGAAAGAGGCGGCAGAGACGATGGCGGAGATGTCGGTGGTGGTTAATCGGAATAGAAGCGGCGGCGACGCGGCGGAGTTTTTTCGGGTCATTTTCATTGGGCCGCACAGGTGGAGTTTCCTCTTCTTCTTCGATTTTCTCTGCGGAAATCGAATTTCTCTATATTAAATTCCGAGAAGTAGATAGATTTTCAATAGATGATGGGGACGACGTAAATTCTGGTGGGTAGGACAATAAGATGATGACTTTTTTTTTTTTCAAACATGCGGAGGAAGAGGGCTGCTGATGGTGGAGGTTTCCATGAAAGATTTTTTTGGAGAAAATGCAATCAAGTCCCTAAACTATAACATGAATTGCAGTCTTGCCTTTATTTCTTTTTTTTTTTTTATTTTTGCAGTTTATTCATAAACATTTATAAACAACAGAGGGGTAAAATTGTCCAACTTAAACAACAGCTGGAATAAAGGTAATTGCCCAAAAAAGTCAATATGCCACGTCAGCAAAAGTGGACGGATTTTTAACTGAGGGACTATTTTGATTCGTTTCAAAGTTTAGGGGGGTTTTCTATACGTTGGGTATAGTTCAGGTAGGTAAAATGAAGTTTACCCAAAATAATTTAAAACCCAATAAATAAATTAAATAAATAAAATAATTTGACAAAAAAGAAAAGAAAAAGCTATTTGTCTTTCTGCTTCATTCACAGGACTTTTGGAGTCGTCTCTTACAAGCAAAATGTGCGTGTTAATGGCTGCTTTTTCTCACTGAACAAAAATCCGATTTTTATTACCTTTATCCTATTTTCTTTTTTATTTAATCCTATTTATTATTTTGCCAATTTTCATTACAACTAATAAAGAAATCATCTTTTTTTTTTAGGGTAGGTGAGAAAAGTCCAAAATTTCAAAAAATTAAAAATAAAAAAATAAAAATAAAGCAGTAAAATTAATTCTTTTTGTTCAGCATACATAAACATTTAGTGGGTTAGTGAGAGAAAGAGAGAGAGAGTTAGAGAGAGAGAGAGAGAGAGCGAGAGAGAGATGGGTTCTTATGGAATGCTTGCGAAGAGGGCTGTGCTTACTAATACCCCTGTTATGGTTCAGGTATTTAATTTCATTTATTTTATTTTTATTACAGAAAATGGGATCCCTTATTTATTTATTTATTCATTTAATTTTCTTGAATGTTAATTACAGTGATTTGGTTAAAGGCGTGAATTTTTATATGTTTTGAAATATTTCAGATACAAGAGCTGATCCGAGGTGTGAAAGATTGTGTTTCTTTGGCCCAGGTTCTTATTTACTTCTCCCAATGTTTTTATTTTTTCGTAAAATACTATATAATTTGTCGATAAATTGAGATTTGTGCTGTCTGATTCTTGGGAAAATAATTATTTTCTTGAAAATTGATCATTTATGCAAATTATTGGAACCATTTTAAAAACCAGTTGGTTTCTAATTTATGTACTTTGAAACTCCATGGTTGCTGATGTTAATCCAAATTAGTTAACGAATCTAAAAAGTTCTCGATTTTTTGCATCGGTAGACGAACGCGTATCTTGAAATCGGTGTTGTTGCATATCGGGTTTTTTTTACTTTCAGAAGCTGCATTTACAGATGATTACATTGCAAATTTAGGACATATTTATGTGTCGTAAATCAAATATGGCTTCGGAAATGAATATTTTTTTTTCGTGCGTATATTCGAAATTATATGTGAAAATAAAAATGCGTTGAAATTGTGTCGATTTTGCAGGGAGTAGTGTACTGGCAACCGCCGAAGCAGGCGTTGGAAAAAGTGCAAGAACTCGTATGGGAGCCTTCTGTGAGTCGTTACGGTGCCGACGAAGGCCTTCCCGAGCTGAGGGAGGCCTTATTGAAAAAGGTCATCTTTTTTTCGATACCTCCAAAAAAACCCGATCATTATATATATTCAATTCTTCCATTCGTAATTTTTTTAATATCTATATAGATTTGTTCTAGGACTTTTTTGGTGCTTTGAAATATCGTTTTTCATTACAGAAGTATCGAAATTGCAAATATTTTTAACTCGACGGAAGTCTCGTTTTTATGGTTTTAAATCATTTTCATTGTTGAGCTAACTTTTTTTTTTATATATAATTCATTTCCTATTTGCAGCTACGTCAAGAAAACAATTTAAACAAGTCCTCTGTGATGGTGACTGCCGGGGCAAATCAGGTGGGCAGTTTTAATCCCGATTCACTTTTTTTTTTTTTTTTAATGTAGTAAATAGAACAGAGTTGATGATAAACATGCTACGAATAAATATTGAACATAAAAAAAAAAAAAAAAAGAAAGAAAAATTTGAAATCTAATGTTACGTACCAAATTTCGAAGTTTCGTATAGTAAATTTCCCCTGTTTCTTGTCTACATATAACCTCTGTTAAAAATCTTCACCGATTTTTGTGCAGGCTTTTGTGAACATTGTTCTTACATTATGCGATGCTGGAGATTCTGTTGTCATGTTTGCACCGTACTACTTCAATTCATACATGTCGTTCCAGATGACCGGTGTGACCGACATTCTAGTGGGTCCCGGTGACCCACAAACACTTTATCCCGATGCAGGTTGATTAATATCCGAATAAAAATTATTCCTATTTCTTCGATTAAAAAAAGGGCTTTGTTTTTTAAATCTCCATTTTTTGTTGACACTCGATTTAGATTCGATTTGCCGTGTTTTGTTCTTGTCGAGGTCGTCTTACATTGATGCACGAAATGTGGATTCTTTTTTTCTTTCTTTTTTTAATTTTCTTAGACTGGTTAGAGAAGACATTACTGCAAACGAAACCAACTCCAAAGCTCGTAAGTGTTGTGAATCCCGGCAATCCATCGGGAACCTACATCCCTGAGCCTCTTCTACAGGTTTCTCTCTCCTCACTTTCTCTCTCTTACTCGAACACGTACATATCTCATATGCACATTAATCAGAACAAAAGTTCTCTTTTTTTTTTTTTTTTGGGCCTTTAATCCTTATACCTAATACGTGGGGTTCTCGTCTGTCTAAACAGAGGATATCAAATATCTGCAAAAATGCTGGATGCTGGCTTGTCATCGACAATACTTACGAGTAAGATACTATATATTTACATTATATATATGATTTTATTCACTTGTTTGCTAGTTTACTAAATTGACCGTATATAACAAAATATCTAATTCTCGGTTGGAATTCTTTTAATTATTGATCTCGAAATTATTGTCGAACGAGTTCTCGTGCAGGTATTTCATGTACGATGGTAGAAAGCATGCGTGCTTAGAGGACAATCATATAGTCAACATATTTTCGTTTTCCAAGGCTTATGGGATGATGGGATGGCGAGTCGGATATGTAAGTAATGCTTTACAAATTTTTTCGATTTTTTGAAATTGGTTTTTTTTTTTATTAACTTTATTTTTTTTTTTGTAATGCCGTTAGATTGCGTTTCCTTCGGAAGTGGAAGGTTTTGCGGCCCAACTCCTTAAAGTCCAAGACAACATACCGATCTGCGCGTCCATAATAAGCCAACGCCTCGCCCTCCACTCTCTAGAAATGGGGCCCACGTGGGTCACAGATAAAGTCAAAGACCTAGTCAAGAACCGGGAGCTTCTTCTAGAAGCTTTGTCCCCGTTGGGGAAAGAATCTGTGAAGGGGGGCGAGGGGGCGATTTACTTGTGGGCGAAGCTTCCGGAAGAATATAAAGACGACTTTGAAGTTGTGCGTTGGTTGGCTAAGAAACACGGGGTTGTCTTGATACCGGGTTGTTCGAGCGGTTGTCCTGGTTACGTTAGAATCTCGTTCGGTGGGTTGGTTGAAGATCAGTGCCGTTTTGCTTCCGAGAGGCTTAAACGAGGGTTGGAAGAGCTTGTGAGTCAAGGAATGGTGCCGTGATTTGGAACTTTTTTTTTTCGATTTTCGTTGAATTGTTTATCGTTTTAGATTTTTCGGTCTTTTGTGCTTTTACCAATTAATTGTGAGATAGAAATAAATTTGTCTTTGGGTGATCTTGTTATAAATGAAAAGACTTTTTATTTTTTTATATATGTATATGCTTTTGTTGGATGCTTTTATTCTGATTCAATTTTGTGTTGAAGAAGAATTGTAAGTGTTTAATTTTATAAATTTTGTGTTGCTAGAGTCCTGATTAAAAAAGATTTTCTATCAATTTTTTGCTTGATTCCATTTTTCACTCTTGAATATTCTATGTTAAAACTTAAAAGGGTGCATAATGATAATATTTTCAATCTTAGGGTGCACGGTGTAAAATATGCAATATTCTCCTTTTTAATTTATTATTATTATTATTCTATTATTAATAAAAAAAATTCAAGAAAAAAAGAAAGTCAACTTCGGAAAAAAATTCAAGAAAAAAAATATTATTTTCTGAAAAAAAATAATTAATTTTTTCAAAAAAATGTGAAAATGAGAGTCAATGCAATATTTGTTCAAATCTGGAGTCAATGTGTAATATAAGTGAATTTGAGTTTAATGGATGAAAGTGATTTAAATTATATCATGAGGAGTATTTTAAAAAGAAAAAAAACATGGGGATAAATTTATTTGCGAAACTATTTTTGGTCTGGACATATGCGCATTTAAGTCTTCCTCATTGGGGTTATATGCAATTCGCCTATAATATGTAAGGTTATTTAGAATTTCGGATTTATATATTTTTTAGAAAAATTTCTCTCATTTTCGATGGATTCTAAATAATTCTTGATTCACTTAATTGGTGACAATAATAATTAAATATAAAAAAAATATAAATATTTTGTGATAGTACTAAACAAAAACTCGGTAGTGTTGTGAAATAATTCCCATTAGCTCGTTTATTAAATATTTTATTACAAATACTAATGGTGTGAATATTATTAATTAATTAATATTAGCTAGTTATTAATGTGTAACTAATATATATATGTATATACGGTTATGTATATGTATGTATATATGTACACACTATATTAATATAATAATATACTACATAATATAATATAATATAATATATGTGTGAGTGGGAAAGATAGAGAGAGTGTGTAAGGAGAGAGAGAGAAAGTGCAGCCAAAAATTATATTTATTAATTCACTTGTACATCTATTTATAGATACAAAGTGATGAGTCATCACTAACACTTGTCAACATTTCATCTAACATTGTTGGAAATGACTACACATGTCTTAACACTTGTCAAAAGACTAATAACCCATTTGCTAAAGTCCACAATATTATAACACTCCCCCTTGGACGTAGCATATTTGTATCGACTTAATTGATGCCTCATTAAAAACCTTAAGCCGGAAAACCCAGTGGGAAAAACCGATCAGAAGGAAAAAAGAGTGCATGACTCAAATCCAAGTCGTGTGCATAAGCTGCCTCGTTAAAAACCTTAGCTGGAAAACCCAATGGGATAAAAACCAGTCGTAAGGGGAAAAAGAGTGCAACGCACTATTGCTCCCCCTGAAATGAGCAATATAATCCCCCAATATGGGCTATCAATCAATTTGTAGGTTGTCTCATTAAAAACCTTGAGCTGGAAAACCCTATGGGAAAAAACCAGTCAAAAGGAAAAATAGTACAACACATCATAGCATTATGTGCTCACCCTAAAACAAATAATATAGGCCTCCAAATGGGCTATTTAATAATCATAAGTTGCCTCGTTAAAAACCTTATGTCAGAAAAACCGCATGGGAAAAAGACCGAACAAAAGGGAAAAAGAGTGCAACATATTATCACTTCGTCTTTGCTTTACGCATTTTAAATCCACAGGAGTATAACAAAATTCAGTGAACCATAAAGATAACATTAGAATGTCTGTTAGACGTATGTCCATTCCCTCGTGGACAACCCTAGGAAACGAAAAAATGATGTACCGGTAAATACATTTAAATATAATCATTCCCATATACTCGGTAGAATCAATATTTTACAAGGCACACATTATAATGAACAATTTTGTTGTTATTATTCCTCTAACGAACAAACAAAACCCCATTTATATCTAGGGAATTTATATTGTTCGGAGTTGGTACCATTAATCCGTATTTATTTCGTTTCTCTGGGAAAGCCAATTCCGATTTAATCGCTTTCTCGCATTTAGGCCAAACTTGACTCTACCGACATTCTATTGTTTTGAACGTGATTCACTGGATTAATCATCCCGAAATTTTATAATTGTAATTGCCCTTAGTCGAGAGATTAATCTCTACATATTTATCCGGAGCATGTTTATCATGACTCGTTCATTCAGTGGATTTAATTAATCCATATGAGTGTGAGCGTGTGCTACAAGGTACTGATATTTATCCCAAGTACTCTGCACAAATCTCATCAAAATCATTTTGATCGAGTTTTTCCGGCACTATCCATTCTCATATGCACGGGGTATAGTAACTTGTGCAGAAAAACGTACAAAATCGTATTGCACGTGCATAATAAACACACGTGAGACCATCTATAAGATGCTTCTCACAAAATCATAAATATTTAAAATATTGGTGCACTTGAAAGGTTGTATTGGTCCATAAATATTATCAACCCTTTTGCACTAAAGGTTACATAACGAGATTTCTATAAATTACAGAAATTTTCTTTGGACATAAGGATCCTTATATCGTACGAATGTCCGTAGTATATTCTTTATTTCTAGCCACCTTAATATTTTATGGGCGTCCCCATATTAACATGTCAAAACCTGAATATTTCAGGATTAACCAGTTTATATGACATGTTGGTGTAGTAATTAAAAAACTCGAATTAGGACACAATACAATATACAAAAGCTAATGCTTTTAATATCATAAGCAGAGAAACATTATTTATTCCCGGAGCCATGATCTCTACGGAAAGTAATTTAGTTTTACTTCGTGCTTTGCGCAATATCACACTCAATAAAATTTAGAATATATTAAATTGTCAATTTGACTAATACATCGTCCGGGGAGATATTTAAACTCAACCTCGGGAATATATATATATATTTCAGGGAAGATATGTAAACTTTACTTCAGAAATATTTCATCTGAAGGAGAACTTTTAAAATTCGACCTCGTGAATATGTCACTCGAGTGAGATATGTAGATTATTATCTTAATTTCGGGAATCAGTCCGAGAAAGATATATAACTCAATTTCAAAGTTCGAAATTATAATATATAGACAATAGTCTATTATATTTGTTCACATGTCACTACAAGAAAAACTAGCTTTAGCAACCAATTTTTCAGCGATGATCAGAAAATGGTCACTGCATATATGCATATAACGACCAGTACTAATTTGGTTGCAATAGTCAATTTACGTATTTGTTTTGCAACCAACTAATATTTGGTAGCTATAAATGGTCACTATAATTTGTCCAGAGTTGAGTAGTTATATAGTGACCAAATCTCTACTCTTTAGCGACCTTCATTTAATGGTCACTGTAAATAATATTAATAGCGACTAATTTGATAACAAAATGATTAATGGTTGCTATAAATTTTTGGAGTGAACATTAACGGAATTATTTTGGCTGCTAATAGTTTTCTAAAAGCAACCATTTGAAATTTTTAAAATTTATTTAAACTAATTAATATATGAAAATCCTAATTCCAAAATTTATTTCTTAACAAAATAATAATACACTAACCCAGTATTTGTACTTTTCAAAATATATTTAATTTTATTTATAGGTTCTTATTTTTAATAAATACGCAAGGTATGATGTAGATTTTTTTTATAATAAAATACATGTGCAAATTTGTATTAATGTATTTTATATAATAATAGTTTTTTTTTATAATGAAATACATGTGCAAATTTGTATTAATGTATTTTATATAATAATAGTTTATACGGGATTGAAAACCCCTCTCTCTTTTCCATCCAAAAAAAAAAAAGAAAACCCCTCTTTCTTACAATTGTATATCAGATCCATTCTTCGGTTTTAGGTTTTACAGCCTCCCTCGACCCATAATCGGCTCAATCGATTCATCCCTTGATAATCGGCTCCGTCTATCGATCGCTCAGTAATCGACCCTCGATCCATCGCATAGTATATGAAGATAACTATCATGAACCCTCACCTCATCTCGCGTCGTCTCTACAGCCCCCGTCGGCCTTGTTGTCGACCACTTAAGCACAATTTCTTCATGATTTCTCAGGTTTCTCAGTAATCCCAAATCTTGAAATCGTAAACAAGAAATTATATAGTTTATTCATATTTATATTCGTTTTGGAATTTATTTTATCATTATAAACGACTTAAAATTGAATTCTTAATTGAGATTTTTTAGATTGAATCTGACTTCTTATTTGTTGGGCTCTTAAACATTGGATAAAATTGAAATATTTGGTTGAGATTTTTGTTTATTGCATTAAATATATATCTTTGTTATTAATTGGGTACATATTTCTCACATATTGTCAATGAACTAATATTTGGTTATGGGTTACTAACAGTAAAAAAGGAGAAGTTTTTATATTTGGTGATGGGTTACTAACAATAAAGGGGAAGAGTTTTTATAGATAGAATGTTACCCAGTTAAAATCCGAAAAACATGAATGGAGGCCATGGATGCCATTTGTGCTTGAGGTTTGTTGTCCTCCACATTTGCAGTCATTGATGTTCACTACCAACGTTGATGTTTCTTTTCGGATATTATAGCTCATTACTTTAAAAGAGCCTAACATATATACATTGTGAAATTCTTTTAGGTAGTTTGAGGCGGCACTGCATTCCCGAATACAATGTCTGGAGCAAAGGTTAATGGATTTAGAACCACGGATGAGCAGGGAACATATTATTGTATCTTATCTTCTACTTGCAATCCCCGCACTTGATTCATAAGAGGTAAGTGGAATAGTTACTCGTGAATAATAGGATAACATGAGAAACAACATAATTCTTTTATTTTGCACTTTTCTTTTACGACTAAGGTAATCCAAAAAATGTTATTAAATAAATAGTGTATTTCCCTCGACTTCTTAGATAAAGGCCGGTCGAGTCCTGACCTCTTATTAACAACTTGAATTGGGATCACATTTTCTTTGGTAAGAATAGC